TTAGAGGCCTTGCTTGTCGAACTAATGGAGTCCCTCATTCCTGCTTTCCCAGTTCATTGTAGACTCAGTTGCCTTTTTGGCTGGGAATGCCAACTTGGCCAAGTCACCTTGGATATCTCACCTCATAGACTTCTTGGGCTGGCTGATTGCTTTTGTCTTTGATTTCTTTACAGACTTTCCCCATTCCAGTGTCCTTAACTGGAAAGACATGGGAAATCACAACAATCCCAATTTGTTTGAAAGTCAGTAGATCTTATGGCCCCAAGTGTTTACCAGCTGATACCTTTAGAAAGTTGTTCACCTTGGCAAAGGGCCTTATCTCCCGAGCTCTGCAGTGCTGACAATGCATGTCAACTGCTTTTAACTAATAGCGGATTTTTCATGTGGGAAATACTTTTAATAGGAGTGCTGGCTCCTTGTTACTCCAGAAACCGCTAGAAAAATAAGCCAACACTTAACTATTTTATCGATAATTTGCTGCAAATGGATATTTCAAATACTCGTTCTTTTCTTTATAATTCTCAGGAAATGCATCATTTTTATTCTGACGGTCTTTGCTAAGCAAATAAACTGTAATGGGCAAACGTAACTGCTCTTTCGAGGAAGTAATTTTTCTGTTCTTTAACTCATAGAAGGCTTGTGGTGCCCCTATATTGTCTATAAGATATTGTACAGCTGAAGGGAGCCTCCTAAAAAATTATTTTCTAGCTGCAACGGGACAAAGTATTCATGCCCGTTTGTTGTTGGGGCAGAGAGAACTACAATTTGTGTTTTACTGAAAGGGGATACTCGCTGAGTATATATCATGTTTTAGTGGACCAAGACGTGCAGGAAGTCACTTGTATTTTTTATAAGCTATCCCACTGCATGCTTATACCAGTACACCGCTTGTGTATTAAGTGTTCTTGAACAACTAAGGATGTGAGAGAGGCACTAGTCTCAGCTGGGAGCTTTTAGTTGCTTAGCTAAACCTGGAGAAGCTTCTGCTTTTAGCTGTAACAGTCATGGTTTCAGTTCTCTTTATGACCAATGGCTTTTAAGGAACCAGCATGTATAACTGCAGAAGTCTTCACCTTTGTGGAAGACAATAGAGCACCAAACTTGTTACGGTTAGGAATCACTGAGCTTTACCTGAGATACAGATTTTTGGTTTACTTGCAGAGTCCAAAGGGGTTTCTGGTTTTCTTCAGAACCAGCTTTAGTTAGGAAACCAAAGTGAGCTTTGACGATGCCAACTAAAATGAAATGAACATCCTACAAACCTACTACCAGCAACAGAATGTACTGTGACCCAACTGCATCCTTATGCAGCCTTGTACTGATAGACAGTGCTGTAATTCTCTCAGGCTTTCTGGAAGAATACTGTCTGAGAGTTAAGACTGAAGAAATACAGTCTTAAACTTGCACTCACAGCAACAAGGTAGAGAAGACAATGTTGGAAAATGTTGGAAGATTGTCACCAAATAAAAACCAAGGATACGTTCTTGCAGAACCTCTGGATAGCGACTACAGAGATACATATGTTAAATATACAATTTTAAGAAACTGTATAGCATTTTCTCAGGGGTTTAATTTTCCATAATAATACCAATAAAACAAAACAGAGCCCTTGGAAGGTGTGAACTCCTGCCTGGACTCAGAGCTAGGCTATGAATGATTATATATATTTTCCCAGCTCTACCTTAACCCAATGCACATAGAGAGAGAGGGCAAGACCTGGGAAGACACTGCACAAGAAAAATGATTATTAGATAAAATGACACAAACATATTCCACGAATGTTACTGCAGAGGGAAGATGAAACAAAAATATTATTTTGCCTTTGTACAATGTTAACAAATTTTACTATACAGCACAGAACCATTGGAAAAGAAATACTTTTAGTGAATAATGACCTCTTATTCATCTGTTTGATTAAAAATGCTTTTTCATCACACTGGTTATTTATTTATTCTTTATTGCAGAAAGGAGACAATTATGAGGAGTTAAGAGGTGACGTTTTTTCAAAAGCAATTCAACTTTGGCCAAGAAATTGATTTATAGAAAAGGTATTGTTTGGTCCATGTCAGAACAATATTCTGGTAATGCTTTCTTTCAAATCTTCAGTGTCCCCCTCTTTCGTGTAGGGATGATGACCTTCTTTGGTAATGTGACCTTCATTCACGACTATGCCATTAGCTTCCTTACCAAAATGCCACTGTTTTGGGGGTTTGACAGAACTGTTTTGTCAAAGTATAAGTTTTTTTGTACGGACACCCCCCCACCCCCCGCCACAACCGACAACAATCCCCTCCCTCCCCTGAAGACTGGATCTATGAAAAGGTCAGCCAGAACCTAATAAGAAGCCTCCTGGACTGGAGGGCTGGGGCAAAATGAAAAAATTGGGACAGGCTTTCAAATTCCATGTAATTTATATCTCCAAGTGGGACAGTGAGTAAGCTGACTTGGTAGGTCGGATAAGGTTTAAAGTAATCTGATCCTGAACTATTTGCTCTTTTCCTTGGGCCTGTAATTCATTTTTCACTGCAGTCAGTAAAGCTGCAGACTTGAGAGATCTGGTTAAACTTAAACACAGCTGCCAGATGTTTTTTTGGGGGGGAAGAAGGGGAGAGAGGCATTGAATGTGAAGACTAAGAAAAATAATTCTTTGGGGGCTGGGCAGAAGTCTCTATGACAAATTCTTGTGGTTTAACTTTTGGCAAGTGTTCAGCACCTTGCCGTTCAGGGGAATCAGCTTGTTCTTGATTCTGCGCCGTGCCTTTCATTTTTCATTCTGCTTTCTTACGTCCCGGTGTCAGAAGCATCACTCATGTCATGCAATAAGAAAGACTGAGAGAGTCCTGAGCTCCCTTTATGGAACAATGGTCTTCATCCCTTTACCAGAAAACTGAGAGATGTAATAATCTCTCTGATTCTTCCATTTCTGTTCTGGTAAGTAAGTTGTGCTGCTGCTGAACAGAAGGAAATGGAGATATTTCAGCTCTATAGAAGAATTTCTGAGCACAAGGCTGTATTTATGCATAACATCACAGGAATATTAGAAAAGGTATGGAGAGCCCTGAGGGTCACACATGCATTTGTGAAACAAAAATTTATGAATGGAGAGGAAAGCAGAAATTGACAGTAAAGCATGGCAGAAAGTGTAATTTAATCGAAATACAATATAAAATCTTATTTGAGTTAAATATGAGTTACAGTGGGCTTTATTAAAATACTATTGATCACTCCATTAGGTGTTAGAATGAATAAAGATGATTGTTCCCTGTAACCAAAAATGTGGTGTTGAGTTGCATTTTATCAGCATATCCATATGTCACATTGAGAAGGGCTTTCAAGTGAATCTGCTAGCAATCCCTCTGGGAGATTAAACACTTTCTTTCCAAGATACGGGAAACTGAGTCTTCCAATGGCTCAGGTCTCCCTGGTCATTAGCCAAACATCAGAAATTAAGAAACCTCTCTATGTGCAGCCCTAGCAAGGCTAGCTGCAAAAGGTTTAGGCGTTACACCTTTTTTTTTAAGCTGAAATAGAAATGTTAATCAAAATCTTTGCTGGGAAGCAGGTTCATTACTGCAAGGTCTGGACCCTTTTCTTTCTCAGTGTAGTAAAAATATCCTGTAGTGAGGCTTTAGGTCCAGTACCAATGATACAAGAGGTGTGAAGCGAATCATATGTATGTGTAAGATGTTGCTATGTCATTGCACATATTACTGAAAACTCTTATTTTCATGTACTTCCCTTTTTTTTGTATTTTTTTCCTTTTTTCCTCTTTGTTTCTGCTGTAAGCTTGTCAACTGCTGGTCATCCATAAAGAATGAATTTGGTCCCAACAGACTTTCATTATTTCTTGACAAACAGCCTATGGCCAGTCTCCATGGAATTAAATGTCATGCAGTGCCACAGTACAAGCCATCACAATTTGGGCTGCTGAAGCACCTCCAATAACACTGAATCCCATTGTCAGATGTGGTATGAAGTCAAGGTCAAATTTCCATAATGTGCTGGCTAATAATGGAGGATTCAGTGCCCAGTCCTCAGTAGTCTTACCTCTCTGCTTGCCATCCCAGTAAGAACATTGCTAATGAACCATTTGGATATTGCTGGCCTCCTAACAGTCCTACGCATCAAAGTCCTATGGCACATGAAAGGCCCGTTGGAAGAGCTGTTCTTACCACAACTTCTCCACTTATGGATATTAAAACTTAGATGGTCCACTGTCCTTCTGGTACCCTCCAGGTTTTCACCATTTTGAGGCATCATTTTGACACAATAACGTATCAGTTAAAGACCTACTGTTTTATTTTCCACTGACACCAATGATCTTTGAAAAAAGAGGTGGCAGAGGCAAGATTACAATACATATTATACTAGGCATAACCTCTAATTATTCTTTAACTAGGGATATATTAAGATAAAAGAGAAATTATATGGGAAGCATGAAGAACAAAGCAGACATATTCACATTTGGTAGCAGTTGGGTGGAAGGCAGGCCATCCATCAGTAAATACCCATTAGATATTTATAAGCCTGCATAGAATTTTTAAGAATACTGTGCATTAGACAATAGAACAGTGTACAGGTCCACACTGGCATCCACAGGATAATGTTCCTTCAGAGAGAATTATTGTTTGATTTCTTATTTGAAGTTTGACTCCTTCTTAGATCTATCAAAAGCTTCTCTTGCTTTTTTAATGTAAACACTAGCAGTATATCTTTTAGGGTTTGCACGCTCTATTAAGAAAGATTCTAGCCTACTATTCCTTTTTGATCTATGTTCTTATGAAAACAACATAATTGGCAATTCTGAAAGTTCATGGTATTGTAAAAGAGAACAAAAATC